CCTTGAGAGACAAAAAATTTTATGAGGGCATAGGTTTTGGTGGACTCCCCCCCCTTTTTTGGGATGCACCGGAAGAGGGGGGCTGTAGTCCACGAAAGCTTATGCTCTAATAAATTTGTTAGTCTCTAAGGTGCCACAAGTCCTCCTGTTCTTCTTTTTTTGAATAACAGTGTCTTCTGGGGCCATGCTGCACCTTCGAGCCCTCTGGTCACCCTGAAGCTGAGGATAAAAGAGCAGTGCGGCAGCAATCACTCCCCAGTTCTTTCTTACTGCTCATGGCTATGATACAGAACATCTATAGTGTCTGCATCTCTGTATGCTGTACACTTTTTCTTTCAAGATAGATAGTTATAGTTTTATTCTTTTAGTCCATTGACTTTAAAAAATTGATTTTAGGGTCTTCGAGTCCATGTGCTGCCTTCGAAACCAGGACCTGCCTGTCCATGGTGGAGACAAATCCCCTGGATTAAAGGTCTTCCCCTCTTTCAGTGGAAAGAGCCCCATCAATGATGGAGACTCCAAGTGCTTCTTTTGTCTGGGGCAAGTGCACATATCATGAAAGTGCTCTATAGCTGCTTTTTGGAAAGAAGCCGGAGTCCAGGGAGTCTTCACTCAAGCTTTTCCTCCTCAAAAGCTCAGTGAGGGCTTTCTTGGCACTGGAAGGCAAGAAGACTGTTTTTACCAGACCACCTCTCAGAGCTCCCCAGTTAAGCCATCTGTCTACTGTGGGTTCCAGAGCCCATTTGAGGTTGAGGAAGTTCCATTTCAGTGGTACGGAGTTGGTCAGTACCTCCTTCATCTCTTCAGCCCAACCCTTTGATGAGAGAGGATGGAAGGAGCATCACTCTTGAGGTGACTAGAGAAGGAGATCCTCCCTCTCTGGATCTGAGCAGATCCAGCCTAGGAGGCAGTTTGAGGCCCAGATCAGGTCCTACTGATGCCTCAGCACCAAGCAGCCATTGACCAGCCTCTGCACATGTTCCAGAACCTGTCGGTATATTTGGTACTGGCGACTGAGGATCAAAGTGCTCGGCGCTGAAACAGTCAGCACAGACACATTCTGCACTGAAACCAACAGTATAGAAGTGCTCTTTGGACCTCCTGGCACCAACACTGTAAGCCCTGGCACCAGAAAAGTGTGATCTGACAGATAGTTTGCCTTCAATACTGAAAACGAATACTGACTTCTGCTCTGTGGTACCGACCACTCTTCCTGAGTCTTTGCCCCGGAGCCTCTTTGTGGTACTAATGTGGTTCATGTTACTAGTAGATTTAGTATAGGACCAACCTGCCCCTCCATTGTTGTCCTCCACTAAGAAACTTCCTATGCTAGTATCAGCACTTCCAGCACAGGAGCTGCTGGTTACTTTCAAATTCTCAAGTGATCTACACCACCCTTGGAGGATGGTATATTCTTTCTCCTCTACCTAGGAGGACCAGTGTGATACGTCTGCCTTAGTCCCTAGACCCATACAACTCTAGGCTGTCTGAAAAGGCATTCAGAGACTGTCCCTGTAAACCCTCCTGTGGGAACAACCATGAGCAATATCCTGCATGGTACCTCTCATGGTCTGAACCTTGTTTTTCCAGAATCCCATGCAGTCAGGCCCCTTCTGGGCCCAAAGGTGGGGAATGGGATCCCACTGCCTCTCAGACAACTAGAGCAAGGTCACCCTGCCCTCATAGACCTCAAGATGGTCACCACACTCACTGGCACCTCATGTACCTGATGCAGAGAGCGAGTAGAAGGACTTACACGAAACTGAAGGCCAACCTGTCCCAACATCGATCTCATCCTCTTCACCTAATGAGGCAGTTACCATGGTGGTTCTAAACCAGCCTGTAGATTACTGGATCTTTGAGGAACTTCTCAGGAGGATGGCTGACACTCTGGAAACCCCAGTTGAGATTGTGTGACTTCTTCTCATAGACTACAAGGCCAGAAGGGACCATCAGGATCATCTAGTTTGACCATCTGGACATTGCAGGCTACAAAACCTCACCAGCCCATTCCTGTAATAGACCCATAACCTTTGGCTCAGTTAGTGAAGTCCTGAAATCATGCTTGTAAGACTTCAAGTTACAGAGAATCCCCCATTTATACTAGTTTAAACCTGCAAGTGGCCCTGGGCGAAACCCCCCTGGGTCTCTTGCACTAACTTCTTGACACCCTGTACTTGTTGGCCCCTGGTAGATTGGCAGTGCAATCATGTATGGTCATTAATGAACCCCAGTATGCAAGACCTCTTTCGCAGATGGGAGTGCCTGACTTTAGAGCTGTTTGCATCCGACCAGAATGTCAAATGCTCCAGAGGGGGAGCCAGTCCGAGCTCTCTGCCTTTCTGATTCCATGGGCACTGGGACTCATGTATACCTACCCTCCAATTCCCCTGATACCCAGAGTCCTCAAGAAGATCACAGAAGACACAGTTCAAATGATGATCCTAGCCCTGGAGTGGCCCAGATAGTTTTGGTTCTCAGACTTCATGAACCTGTCAATATGGCTTCAACCACGCTCTCACATACCTGGATATTAGCAGGCAATTGCAGGGGCAAGTCCCGCACCTATAGATATCTCTCCATCTCACAGTCTGGATGCTGGCTAGATGATATCCACTGACAGATTTTGCTATTTAGCAGTTCAAAACATCCTGGTTTTCAGCAGAAAGGACTCCACCAGACTGAACTATACTGCTAAATGGAAGAGATTCTCTATCTGGTCCTTGGAGAATTGTCTCTCCCTCGGATGCATCTCTGTCTGCCATCCTGGACTGCCTACTTGCCTTAAAGTAGGACCTTTGGACCTTTTCATTAGCTCCATAGAGTGCTTCTCTTGGTGATCTCTGCTCACTATCCCCCCAGCGGAGGGTCACACTGTGTTTTCTCAGTGTCTAGATTTCTTAAGGTCTCATTCATGTCTGTCTCCTGAGATCTCACCATTGTTCTAACAGGTTTAATGGGACCCCCTTTTGAGTCTTTGCTGACTTGCTCTTTGTAACACCTCTCTATGAAGACCACATTCCTACTGGCCATAACCTCAGCCAAAAGGATAGGAGAGATTCAAGCCCTTATTATGGTCAGGCCACTTTATGCAGTTTTCCATGGTTGCAAAATGACTTACAGACCTCAGTGGCTGACTTCCTCTTAATCAAATAATCCACCTACCAATCTTCTCTAAGCCTCACTCCATTTAGGGAGAAGCTATAATTTACACTTTTGATATTGTCAGGGTTTTTTCCTACTATCTAGAAAAAAGCCCTTCAGAAATTCTTCTAGATTGTTCCTCATGTTTGCTGACAGGATGAAAGATCAGTCCGTCTCCATTCAGACTGTCAGAATAAATCTTGGATTATATTGAAATGTGTTCGGAATTATCAGTACAAAATGAGAAACTGAGAAAAGCCTTCTTTTTACATAAACTTAGACTGTGGTGTTTATAGGGGCTGTTCTGGAGTCTGCCAAAGAGAGAGATGTCAAGGGATGCAGAGATCAATGCCTCTGAAGGACTTCATTGAAAGCCATATGGATTGTTCGATTTTTGAGATTTACATGGCTTCTTGCACTTAAGTGATATTGTTTACCAGTGTCAGGATAGAAACTTCTGCAGGGTACTTCTTGGACAGTATATCAAAATCAAGAGGACAATATACAGTGCACTTTTACTGTGCTTTGAACTATCCAAGGTTCTCTACTGGGATGGATAGTACCAGGAAAAAAAATTCAGAAAGTACCATTCAGTCCTTCTTCATTAGTTGTAGCTGTGACAGATGCTTTCGTCATAGGTTGGAGAGAACCCAATGAAGAATCCTAGGTCTCTTAAAAACCATAGTCAAAACTTCATATAAATGTCTTTAGAGCTGAGAACAGTTCAATTTTCATTCTTTCATTTTGAGCTTTTCTTTCTCCAGATCATGTATTGCTGGATAAGTCTTCATGGGCACCACTGTGGACGCACATTATATCAGATGGCAGGATTGCATTCATTCTTTTGTGTCTTACTAGGACATTGTGTGGTTTTGTGAATGGTTGTCAGATATCTGGTCATACCTCTGACCCTTAATTTTCTATCAACAGATTTGGAAGTCAGAAACTACATTGTTTTACACAAATAATCTTTAAAAGACATTAGTCAATCAATCACAGATTTTGTCACAAAGGAGAGACATACATGCCTTCAGTTTTGCTTTAGAGGTGCAAAGATTCTAGTTCCTTGATAGATGTTTTCTTCTATACTGAAGTAAGTTAATAT